AATTGTCCAGAATTCATACTATTAACCAGCATCTGTTACCATGTTGGGCTTTTGACCCCCTGAAAACGGTGTCTCAACCCTTCCTGTTCCCACTCAAGCAACTGAATTCTCAACTGAAAAAAAGGGGGACAAGGTAACCACAGAAAAAAAGCACTTGCATTTCAAAGATCAATCAACTCTAAAAGCCAACATCCTGTTTGGGGTTGGGTTTACACAGCAGCTCCTCCGACAATGGCAAGCTGACAGGAAGCGAACGTGAACAGCGTTTTCTATAGGAAACTCGCTTTTCGAACCCACCATTCTGCTAACTGTGTTCTGAAGTATCTGCTCCCACCAACCCTGCCCTTGCCCCTCAGCATTAAATGAACACTGCGGACGCTAAGCCTCACCCTCCTCTTCAGGGAGTTATCAGCAGGGGAAATGAAGTCAGCTGGAACGCTTTGTACCATCGACATTTTTTGCTCTAATTCTGCAGCTGCGGCGAAACACGGCTGAGCGCATACACGCACACACGTGCTCACATGCCAGCGCCCACGCGTACGCATGGACTGGCATGCCAGGCACTGCGCACCCTTGGGAACTGATGTCAATGGGAAAGCCCCGTCACCAAAGATGCTTGAATTAAATGAAAGGCCATGGTTATAAGTGATTTTTGCTAAGCTGTACGGGACAGGGAGTGCGAGACTTTGTGTGTTGTGCAGTGGCCACTTAAAAAAGTAGGTGATAGAGACTAACTGAAAGGCTGAACCATTTCACGTGTACCTGACTGTTAGCCTGAGCCTGAGGGCTAACATCATGGTTCAGATTAACCAGGCTTCTTAATGTCCAGGCTCTGGGCAAAAGCCTGTCCCTAAGCAGAGTAATGGCAGGAAAATGCTGCATGGTATAGGGACCATTTCATCTGCGCTGCTTTGCCTGAGTGGCTCTGCTCTTAGTAACAAGATCACACGGAGGCAGACCACCCTCATTCATACCAGGCAACCTGGCGCTGGTGGGTGCTGTACAGGTAGCTCGTGTCATCTCTTGCAGCACTTGAATGTCTTTGGAGAGCTCTGCTGGTCCTCCTGACTTCAGAGGACAAACTGAGCCAGGATACTAAGAGGCATGGCTGCATCCCATTATTGTAATACAGTGATGGGACAAATATTATCGTCAGCCATTGCCAGCCCATTTCTAGATCGAACAATTCCTCTACCAGTTACTAGTTTTAATACACCACAAGGCTTAATATAAACAAACAAAAAGTTGCAATCAGAACATGGTGCTGACCCAATCCCTGGTATGTGTGCTCGATACAACCGCGGTTTTGATTATGTTGCTCTCAGGCCAGTCCTACTGCCCATCTCTCAACGTGCTAGAAAGCGGTGTCACAGCTGGCCCTTGCAACAGCTTCCTCCACGTGCAGCCCAAGCTCCGACTGAACAGCAAGGTTTTCTGACTGAAAAACTGAACAACATTCCTGGTCCCTAACAGGTTTTGCACAGAGGGAGCTTGCGTTGCCACTGCCTGTGTGGTGGCTGTTAAAAAGGTAAAAGGACTTTTAGCTGAATACCAGGCCGGCACTATATTCATTTTACCTATCTTTTAAAAAATACACAGATGAAAGGGGCGGAAGCTCAATTCCCAAGCAAGTTGATTTGGGAACTTTGAGGACGAGAACAAATAAATGCATTATGCACAAGCACGCAGCACCTTTTTGTGTTCAGCAAACGTGTGCCATTTCATAATAGTCGTAGCACTGCATTGTTCAGCAGGGCTGATGCCTCCTCAGGAGGGTATCTAACCAACATTTTTAGAAACAATTTGCATGGTGGGTCTCATGTGGCACCGAGCGTTTGCACTTCAAAGCACTGAGTACTTCAGCTTTTGCCAGAGCTGACTCACAGGTCAGCTTCTGTCAAAAGCAGCGGCAAGTGACTTTAATCACTCTGGCACTCAGGCTGTCATTTGGATGGGGAGAGCTGGCCTGGCTCAGAAATCAAGCGCTACACACAGCGAGACTGCAACAGCCCGCAAGTGTTATCTGGACAAAGAAAAGTTTCTGTTCAGGGACAGCCTGCATGATCTAGACAGGAAGCCTGGCCCAGCGCATAGCTAGACTGTGTGTCTGAAGAGAAACCGTGCCCAGCCTGTCCAACAACCATGCTATCTAAAGAAAGAGCTGGCTCAGGGCAAAACCAGCTGTGAGGAGGGCAGACAGAACAGGGTGATACACTAGCCAGGATGGTGACTTTGCCCACTTTCTGGCTAAAATACACATTCTCTGGAGACGCAGCCCGCAGATTCAACCTGCGGCCCACTGCATGTAAACCACACTGAAATTAAGATTGTTCCATGAACTGGCCAACCCCTGCAGGGAGTAAACAGGCTCAATCTATGGTGAGATATTACTGTCTATTTACCATTTTTGTAATGTAAATAAGAGCATGAGTTGAAAAGGAGAACTAGTGGCTAGCAATACTTTCTTGACCTTGTTATGCAAGAATGCTGGGAGCCCCTCAACATATTGCACCACACCAGAGAGAATCCTTCTCCTTTCTCTGAGATCTAGCTGAGGAAGTGAGAGAGCCTGGAGATTTACTTCAGATAACACATCTTTTCAGGGCAAGCTGAAGGAGTTAAAGACCTTATCCCTCACCCTCCAGGTTCACCCCATGCTACCTATCCAAGAAAGAGGGGACCAAAACAAACCCCCTTTGTTCAGTGCAATGTGCAAGACAGTCTATACACCGGTGTGCACCGCCCGCTGCAGAGAGTACTCAGCCTAATAAATCCTGTTCTCTGTAGCAGAGCGCCAGTGCTATTTGCTTCCATAAATCCTGTTGAGCGCAGAATTCCCACCAGACTCATCAGCCCAAATCCTGCAGGTGGGCTGGGCTTGGGCAGCAGCACCCCTTGGCGGCTGTGGACCGGGATGGCTGTCGATGTCCCACAAGGCTGCAGGGGCAGGAGGAGGCGAGGAAAACTTGGCAGACTTTGTTTGGACGGATCGTTTTCTCGTGGCCCCCTGAGATCCCGCTGTATGGTCCCAGTGGTGGCAGGGGGAGTGTGGGATGATCTTCCGCGCTCTCTACAAGGTTCGCTTTGACTCTCCTGCCACAGGGGCTGTGCAGCTCCAGCAACGCGCACCCTTCCTGGCGAAGGAGGGACGGCCACATTCAGCAAATACATACATCTAAACTCCAGAACATAAAAGCTTTCCCCCTTCCGCATTTTCTTTTTCTGAAACAAAATAAAAGAAAAAAAGAATTGCCAGCTCTGCTTCCCACATCCCCATTATCTTCTTTCCTTTCCATCCTTTTTTTGTGCCCTGTGGCACATGTTGTTATTTCCACGTACCTGCCATGGCATCCCTTCTTTCCCGTGCTGACCCCACCAGCCACCTCCTGTCTGCTCCCTGTCACATTCTCCTGCTCCCCAGGAAAATCATTCACACACTCACCCCCTCCCCCTCCCTCTGCCACTCATCCCTTTGACTGCATCAAGTAAATACTGACCCCCCCCAGGCTCTCAGAGGGCAGGACTGCTTGAAAACAGAGAGAAACAAGCAGTTTCTGGGTACGGACGCACAAGTTGGTGGGGAGAAAAAAAGAGGAAGCTATAATGTCTCTGTCTGTTTTAGCTAGAAACATCTCTAACGAAAAGAGTTTGTTGCAGTTTGTCTTCCTCATGTCCTTCTCTTTCCTAAGACGTTTCCTCTAGACCATTTTCAGCCCTTTCTCCCATACCCTTTTCACTCCTGCAGAACAGCTGCTGTCTTTTTCCCTTCAACACACTCCACTCCTGCCTCTCATCTCAATATATCGTATAATCCTACATACATAAAGACAACCTTTCGTCCAGCTTTTCTCTCATGCCTTGCTCCTTTTCTTGCCACTTTTCTCCTTAGCGCTCTGCCCTGAAATATCACTTGTCCTGTCTGACAAACAAGGCTGCTTGTATTGCCTTAGTGGCTGCAGCATGTGCTACTCACAAGCTCAGCTACCTACCCGAGCTGAGTGGCTGGGTTTGGGGAAGCCTTTTTATTTTTTTGCTTTTTAGTTATAACAAAACACACGTTTCTCCTGAGCATCGCCAGGAGAGGACAGCAGCAGAAGGCTCGGGCTGTTGGTGCCCCGGAGGGAAAGCCAGGCTCTCTGCAGGTTAAGGGTAATACTGGAGGGAAAATTGTTTTGTTCTGCTTGTACACAACAGGACAGTACACAAATGGTAGGGAATGGGTGTGTGGGGTGTTTTCCTTCCTGAATTCAGCCCAACAAAATGATTCATCTGGCCTGCTATTAGCTATGGGTGCTATGGGGCACCTGGCGGCAGATGGTAGTCACGCAAGGGTAATGTGGGTTTCTCTGTGCTGCATTGCTGTATACATAGAGTAGACACAGAATCATAGAACCGTTTAGGTTGGAAAAGATCTTTTAAGATCATCAAGTCCAACTGTACCAACGCACTTGGTAAGATTGAAGTGGAAAAATGGAAATCTCCCTTCTTTTAGGGAAAGTTGAATCAAGTCTCAGTATGACCCCAGTTAAAAACATTTCTTTATACAACTCTTTATAAGGTGACTGAGCACAAGGTGACGGATAAAATGAGGTGTACCTCAGTATTTATTTCTGTAAGTAATGCACTGAAGACCAGAGGTTGTTCAACTAGTAAAACCGAGTCTCATAGAAAAGATGGGTTTGACACACATCCTGCAGTTTGCAAGTGGTAAGACTTGAGCTATGCCTAGTGGCAAATGGTCCTATGAGCTTTACAGTCCAAAACAGTTTCAGGTAGACCCTGCTTGTTGTATTAGATGACAAGGTTTTCCTCAAGGAAGGTGGGACACAAATACTTGTCGTGACACAGAGCCAGCCTTTGAGATCGATTTAGCAGCAGCCAGGGATAGCAGGGCAGACAGTGCCACAGCCACCCGGTGGGTATGACTGACTTCCCTGGCCAGACAAACCAGCGACAATGCCAGGGGACGGCTGCTGGGCACCGTGCTGACGCCATGACCCATGCCGGGTCACTCAGACTTTGCAAAAGAGACCGCCTCCAAGCGAGTGGGTGCCCGAACGTCGGCAGAGCCATTCTGCGGGACTGGCCCGGCTGCAGCTGCCCGTGGCGGGCGGGGCCGCCCGCGGAACGTGATTGGCAGAGAGTTCTGAAGAGGCCTTTCATTGGCTGCTGGGCTACAAGTGGCTCCGCCCCCTTTCCCTCCCCTCCCGACGGCGCGGCAGAACCGTCAGAGTTGTTTACCGCCGAGAGCTGTGGGGATTGTCCCCGCCTCCCAGCAGTTCTCATTGGCTGAAGAGACCGGACATCGCGAGCCCATTGGCTGACAGCGGACAGGCTACTTTCCCACTCCCAAGGTTGTTGCCGGCGCGCCCTCATTGGTGAAGGAGGGCGGGCAGCGTTATTCCGATTGGCGGAGAGCAGAGGGAGGCCCGCCCCCGCTGCTGCTGCTGCTGCAGGCGGCCGGCGGGGCCATCCCGCCGCCGGAGGAGGCGGCGCGCATGGCGCGCTTTGTGCTGCACAACTGCGACTGGGGGGCGCTGGCCACGCTCTCCGTGCAGGAGGGGCTGCGCGGCCACCCCTTCGCCAACATCTTCTCCCTCAGCGACGGGCCCCCGGGGCCCTTCAGCGGCAGCGGCGTCCCCTACCTTTACCTGACCGACATGGAGATCTCCGTGCAGGACCTGGAGGTGAGCGGCAGCAGCCGGGCCGCGGGCAGCGGCGAGGCGGGGTTTGGCCCCCTCAGCCGGCGGACGGGGGAGGGGGGGTCCCGCAAAACCAGCTCTGGCACTGGGGTATGTCAGCCGCAAACGTAAGTGGGGCCTCGGTAAAAGAGGCTTAAAACTGAGAAGCATGCAGGTTACTAAGGCAATGTCGAATTTTTCTTGGTTGCCTCTGCTTTTGCGTCTGAGCAGCAAGTGGTGGTTGGGATTTCTTTGGCAGGAGTCAGGGTTTACGCCAGCATTTTCTGCAGGCAACGTGATGGTGCTAACTGCCGCTTCCATGGATGTCGCCTCATTTGGGAGCCCCGGGGACAATTAAGAGCCCTTGACCACCTAAATGTAAAGCGGTACTGTCTGTGTGGACACGCAGTAGCCCTCCTAAGAAGTTCCTGC